GCTTCCTGCTGAGCAGAGAGCCTGATGTGGGGCTCGATCCCAGGACCCTGGGATCATGACCTGAGCCGAAGGCAGACGCTTAACCGACTGAGCCACCCAAGTGCCCCCCTAGAAATTCTGACATGAGAATTAGCCAACCTATCAAAAAGAAGGTTAGGCTTATAGCATCCTTGACTCGGGTAAATCCCTGGACAATGAATATGCAAGTGAGAAGATGGAGGGAAGAAGAGTGTATGAGATGAGTAAGAAACAGAGTGACGAGAAGGAACCTAAGGGTCAAAATGTCAGGGCAGCAGTTGTATATCCTGACTATATCAATGTTAACATCCTGGTTATGATACTGTACAATAGTTTTGCAAGACAATGTTACCACTGGGGGAGACTTAGTATAGGGTATCTCTCTATATTAATTCTTATAACTGCGTGTGACTCTACAATTATCTCAAGATAAAAAGTCCATTTATTTTTTTAAGATTTTATTTATTTATTTGTCAGAGAGAGAGAAAGAAAGGGAGAGAGAGAGCAGCAGGCAGAGGGAGAAGCAGGCTCCCCACTAAGCAAGGAGCCCGATGTGGGACTCGATCCCAGGACCCCAAGATCATGACCCAAGCCAAACACAGATGCTTAATCAACTGAGCCACCCAGGTGTCCCTCAAAATAAAAAGTTTAATTAAAAAATAAAATAAGGGCAAGCACAGTAGAGAGAAGAGATGAAGGACAATGAAAAGCCTTGGTAAACTGTAGAGGTGAAAGGCAACACCAAGATGATGAAACTGGAGCAAACTGCGCATAGCCTGAGGCGCCCAACCTTCAAAGATGTGGATTTGTGGAGTAAGGTGCAGAAAGTTGACCCAATGTAATAGAAGATGGAAAAAGGATCCGTTTGATCTGCCTGAAAAAGAGCAAACTGAAGGATGATACACAAGACCATTTATGGATATAATGCAGGTCACTACAATAGCAAAGGATGGGGGGGTATGGCAAAGGCTCTCAGGCCCCGTCACAAAGAACAAAAGTATGTCTTCAACTTATAAGCAAGGCATCTGTGATTAACAAGCAGTTTAGTGCCAGACCACCCAAGTTATAAAACAAGTTGATGAATCGTCCTTATTAATACCAGTTTAGAGAGCTACCAAAGGGAACTCATATTCAGATCATCTGAATTCTCTCAAACACAACAGGACAAGTGGCTAAAACTCATAAAACCTCAAGGTGTCCTTTAATTCTCTTTGTTAAAGAACTCAATGAATAATTCAAAAAGGCATTCTGGTGAAGAGGCCTCTTGATGAAAAAGCACATGATGTTTACACTCAGAAAATGCCAAGGCTATCCCTAGTCCCCAGAACACCGAACAATAAATCAAGGAGCTCCAGTTTTTTCAGAAGGGCTTCAGTGTACCCAGCTGTGTAGCCATTACTGATAACAGAGGTTAGCTGTGTCTGATCTAACCTAACTGACCATCTATTCTTACCCCTATCTACACATACATCCATTATACAAAACGAGGATCACCCTATTGTACTTATTTGATTACACATCCATCTCCCATCACTTGACTACAAGCAACTTCAGTTAAGGAATATTTTTTTGTGTTCTTAACCTAAGATCCCACTGCCCAGGATGGCAGGATGGGTGTGTGGGCATCTCTGGAACTCTGTGCTCACCACCCTCCTTCTGTGTGCTTCTCCTCACCCCACTTCAACCATATTATTATTTTTTTACACATAATTCTTGATGGAGCCACCATGTCTTTACATGATCATGCCCTCCTACTCTAGCTGACTGACCCAGGATGGGCATCTGATACAAGCTATAGCACTGTGTCCCTTTTCTAGACTTTTGGACTAGGGATTCTTTGACATATGGACCAAAAGGATAAAGTGGCTGGTGACAGAAAAAGTGATAAGGGTGAAATCAGAAATGCACAGAAGAAAAAACCAGAATCATGGTGGCATTCAAGTTATTGCTTCCAGCTGTTCCTGAAGCCCAACTGCTCCTAAGGAGAGATGGCCCTTCCAAGAGGTATCCCTAATTTCAGATGGGGATCTGTCAATTGCAACCCACAGTATTAACTAACACAGACTGAATGAGTGAGTGAGTGAGTGAGTACACACATTGGCAATCATTTCCCCCAGGGCAGGTGATGTCATTTATTACAAAAAGCTTTGCTCCCTTACTATACTGGCAGAAATCCTACCTCAGAGTAAAGACAGATGTGTAATTAGGATATAGGTGGGATTTAGAAATGAAAACATAACTAAGAAGTAGGTGAAGAGTGGCTATAACCTGGAAATTACCGAGAGCCTTGTCTTTTATACTTAGGCTAACTCAAATATCTATCTATGCTACCCTCAAACAAAACTTACTTTCTGAATGTGAGGAATATGGATGTTATTTTTCTTTTTGACTGGCTCTTGATTATAAGACACTGTGTGTTTAAAAATATCTTATATATATTTCTTATGCAATATAATATCCAGACACTTAAATATTGTAGTAAGACAGACTAGGTAAATAAACAATGCTTGGAATGGAAATTTGGCACTCCTGGGAAAGGAAACCAAGAGCCATTGCTTGCCTGCTATGAACCAGGCATTGTGATTGAGATGTCACAAAATTTATCTCATTTATAGTTGAGGAAACAGGCTCAGAGAGGTAAAACAACTTGCCTAGCATGAGGCAGGAAGTGCAGGAGAAGTGGGATTTAAACCAGAGCTGCCTGCCTCTAAAACTCTTAATAAAGGGACACTTGGGTGGCTCTGTCGGTTAAGTGTCTGCCTTCGGCTCAGGTCATGATCCCAGGGTCCTGGGATCGAGTCCCGTATCGGACTCCTTGATCAGCAGGGAGCCTGCTTCTCCCTCTGCCTTCTGCTTCCCCTGCTTATGCACACTCTCTCTCTCTCTGATAAATAAGTAAATAAAATCTTAAAAAATTAAAAAAAATAAAATAAAACTCTTAATAAAGACTTGAGGTGTGAGTCTGATCATAACAAAACCATCTTTGTGTGCCTCAGTATCCGAAATGCATGAAGGCCTAAGGAAGTAGAGAGGATGAAGAAGGGGAGGGTTAAAATCATTACTCACATGATCAGATTACTGGAAAAACTTAGGACTCAAAATTACTATCCAAAAATCAAATGTACTTGTAGGTACAGTTCACTATTTTTTGAATGAAGATTGTTGTTGAAGATTAGAACACCTGACAATTGTGTATCTGTTAGATACTGTTTGTTAGAGAAATCAAATCTAGAGAGCCAAAAGCACACTGGCTCATAAGTTATTTTCTACAAAATGGATCATTTTTCTCTAAGATTCAAGCACATTTCTCCAGAAAAATATTCCTTCCCAGGCTCATTTCTGCCAGAATTTTTTTTCTCTTCATTCCAATTCTATCAACCAGAATGAGGAAAATGGTAACCTGGGTGGCCACTACAAGTGTTCGCTCCAAAATTCCCAGTGGAATGTCTGCTAAGATACTGCGCTTGCTTCATGCCACCACTTCCTGGCACAGAAGGAAATCAATGCAGAAGCCTAAGAATAAGGAGCATATGCAAAGGTAAAGTAGCCCTCCCAAGGTCATAAACTAGTGAGAACAATGTCATTCAAACCCAGA